CACACACACACACGCACACACACACACACACACACACACACACACACACACACACACAATTGCTGCTCTTGCTGTTGTGATGATGTGTCTTATAATCTTATTGTGTACTGAGAACCTTATCCATACACACACAGCATGTGCTGCACAGCAAGGCTACAAAAACTTCACAGACCACCTTTTCCATGCCTTCGTTCTTTTTCTTTTTGTTGTTGTGATACAAATCTGAACCCAACGAAAATAATAATGTCCCCAAAATCGATTATATGTCCATGCTCACCATATGTGCACTTTCCAGGACCATCGTAACTTTAGAGAAGAGAATGAGGTAGTGGGAGAAGAGACAGTGAGGAGGAGAAGAAGAGTTCCAGTAATAATCCATAATGCATAAAGTCTCTTCCTTCCCACTTCCTCCTTGGGCAATATTCTCCCCCTTGCCGCCCATCCTCCATCAACCTCAGCAGCTAAGCGGGGAGGATGGCACAGATCTTCCTCACCTTTGTGGAGACAAGCAGCAGATCACACACGACGTCACCAGGTAAGTCAAGGTAAGCTTCCCCTCAAACCCTCTCCAGTCTCAGTCTCAATCCTCGTCCTCCTCCGCCCAACCTCAACAACAATGTGCAAGGAATATGAGTGAGAGCGATAGATGAAGTCCAAAATGCAAAATCACGAAGTAGTCCAGATAGTCATGTACCAAGCAGAGAGCACAATGCACCAAGAACTCAAATGTCAATGCCGAGTTCTCTGGCCACACCAACATCGTATTCAATGTCGCTCGTGTCTGGTGCCCAGCGCCCAGCCTACATTACCTAGCCTATCTACACCAGGTATATTCTCTCCACTCCCCTCATCCCATCTTGACTCCCATCTGCATGTGCCTCCTACTCCCCGAAGACCGCCATCACCATCACCTGCTACTGCACGCTATGCCCGGTGTCCGGCGGCTCCAGCCTTACGCCGCCCTTTACTTCCTTGATAATAGCACTTGAGGCGAGCTGGGTTCGGTCAATTTGCCTGGCGGGATCGCAACTGGCATCAAAAGATACGATATCAAATTCATGCAACAAGTATCGAGACCGAGGCGTCAGGAAAAAGTGGATCCATGAATTCTGGGTAAGCGCCCCTTTACGCGCACTGTTGAGGCATATCATTGCCAAGGCATAAAGGAGCAGCTACTACAGAGGAAATACCGGAGGCTCCAGGTGAAGGACAGGAACGGGAGGGCCAGATTGCATTAAGACCCGGTGGATGGGCCGAACAAGGGAGGGTTCCAGACTTTTAAGACGGGCCCTCGGGTGAACTAAGTGGCAGTCGACACCGGAATTCATTGTGGAATCAATACAAAGGGAAATCACTGCTCAGGCGTGCTTGGGGCTTTGACATGCGGGCCTTAAGTAAAGTCGAAAGAGAGCCTGTGAGGCCTAAGGCCAAGAAAAGGGCCCTCGGGCCGTGAAATTATTAATTTCGGGACTGGGCCTTGCGGGACCACGAGAGCCTGGGGTCCAAGCCTAAGGTTCGGAATGAGCCTCGGTACCAGGGCGTTGCAAAAGGCCTGGTACCCGACAAAAAGGCTCCCGTCGCTGAAAACCCTTCGGGGGCCCAAATACGTCCGGGCGCAGGCTCGGGGGAGCCACGGTACCAGGGAGCTGCAACTTGTCGGCAGCCTCGCAGCATGCAAGGGCTGAGGCACATTTCGAAAAGGGCCCGACAAAGTATAGAAGTCAAACTGGGCCCAGGATCGGGACACTTCCCACTTGCGCACAAACAGGCGCACAAAGAAATCACAGAAGCACACTCGGGGAGAGGGCGTTGAGGCGCACCCGCAGAGGAGCATGGAGAAGAGGGGTGCACGTTAGAGGTAAGAGGGAAGAGAAGAGTGTTTGTGGGAAAGGGAGAGGGCCACTCCATAGCCATATGTGGACACCCTCACGCACGTCCAACCGCATGCAGCATTCCCGCACGCGTGACGTTTGGACAAGGGCGCACACACTTGCGCACGCTCGCGCACTGTCGGGATCGGGCGTGTGAAGTCGAGCGCACGGTCGGGATCCGGCCTGCGCAGTCGTGATCAGAGGCGCACAGGGCGCGCAGTCGCACAGTCGGGATCCGGCCCCCACGCAGTCGTAATCAGGCGCGCAGCCAAGGTGCACAGTCGCGCGAGCCGGGCACACCATCGCTCAGTCGGGATCAAGCCCCGCGCAGTCGTAATCAAGCGCACAGCTAGGGTGCATAGTCGCGTGAGCTGGACACGTCATCGCACAGTCGAGATCAAACCCCGTGCAGTCGTAAACAGGCGCGCAGCCAGGGCGCACAGTCGCGGGAACCGGGTGCGCAGTCGCACAGACAAGCGGGTCGGGTGCACACTTGCTTAGTCGGGATAGGTGAAGCGCGCAACCGCCCGTACACGCGAGCTCAGATGCGCAGAGTCAGGGTTGGAGCTGCGCGCACTCGCACACATCCACACACTGTCGAGGAGATCGCGCGCAACACCGCGCTTCCTCGCTCGTCGTAGGGGAGATCGTGCGCACGCACGCTCCGACGCACAGAGTCAGAATTGGGGGAGTGCGCAACCGTGTGCATGCTCGCTCAGACGCGCCGAGTCGGGGTTGGGGGAGCGCACAACCACTCGCACAAGGACGAAGTCGCGCGCTCACTCGCGCTCTTTGTGCACACCTACCCACGCAAATCAGAAACTGCACACGGACACTCACAAGGGAGAAATTGTGCGCACACGCGCACGCAGTCCTCGCATCCGCACGAACGAGGGGGTAGCAGGCGAACAGGCCCGCAGCAGCGCGCGACCACCACGCACTGTCCGGGCAGCTGGACATATAAGGGTGCGCTCCTGCACAGTCGAGTTCGGGGCGCGGAACAGCGCACGCCCGCGCGGAGGTAGGGTCGAGACGAGAGCAGCCGCGCGGGATCGGGATCGGAGCGAGACGATCAACGGAATGGGCCCTGAGGCACAGTCGGGATATCGGGCGGAACGGGCCTTTGAGGCACAACATATTTATTACCATCATAGGTCTTTGGGACTTTATTTTATTTTGGGTAGATAATCGATTGTATTTTCATTTATTCATCTCGAAAGAGACGTCAGAACCAACCGCGACAGCCAATTTAGCTTTGAACCAATGCGAGAACACCTACCAGACTCTCATGAAAAAACAAAAGAAGAAATCAATGTCCATAGAAGAACGAAATGTTCTTGTACGCCAACCCTTCCATAATACGTAACCAACAAATAGGTAGACGCTCAACTATCAACACAACACATCGCCAAAGCTAGTCTACATCTGATAGAGAAGATGTGTCAATGGAAGAAATCAAAAGGTGGACGTAAACCTTTCGCCAAACAGGAAGCGAACATCAAAATAAACACCCCACAACTAGCCCCGTCCTGCTGCTGAGGAACACCTTTCATGCGGACCTCGCATGCGAAGTGGTCGAAAGTGCGACCATCAGTGGTGGCACTTGCCACCATGTTCAAATACTTAACAACGTTATCAAATAGTGTGGAATAGAAATCATCTTTCAATGACGAACAGGAAAACGAGTCGAAAATTTTCAAAACACATCTAGAAAAGTCAATTGCCAAAAGACTCCAGTGTGTGCCGCCCTTGTGCACTGGTGCCAAGACGAGGTCTTGAGACAGGAGGTCAACATCTTTAGCCCATCTGCTAACACTTGTCGGCCCTCGAAGCAGCAATGTTGAGGCGAAGAAAGAGTTAAAGGTGTATGTCTTCATGGCAGCAATAGATCGGCCGCAGTCGTCCAGTATCATCACCATGTAGAAATTGACAACCTCATCGTTAAGCTCCTCGTATTTATCCACAATAGTGACGGTATCCTTAACCGATACCTGTAAATTGTGCGACGGCAAATGCGCGGCGATGAAAGTGAGCGGCAGTCGAGAGCGGACTACGTCTTCGAGGACTGCTCTTCCATCTCGAGGAAACCCTGTTCAACAAACACCCGCAGCACACAACAAGCACAAAGGACGTAGGACTATGAGAAAATGTCGTCCAAGCGGCCAGGGTCTGACGGATTGCCACTCTGCGGACCGAAAATTTCACGCATAACGTCACCCCTACTTCTGGACCTTCTATACACAGTTGATTCCGAACTAGTACTGTCCTTCTTTGAATCCTTGCAAGCTTCAAGAAGGATTATTCGACAGTCCTTCTCGCTAACACCCGCTGCCTCTAAAACGAGTTTCGCACGTGGGCTTAGTATGGGCACAGCCACCCGTTTGGGAGACCCCCGAGGCTTCCTGTTCCCATAAAAAGAATCAATGACACTGCTACGTCCAGTGCCTTCGGCAAGCAAGACTAATACCTTCGCGAGCGCAGCCGGCTCCTGCGATATGTGCGTTTCTCCATAAATTTTCGACGTGTACAAGAAATAGCACAACATGTTTGATTACAATAAGCCTCGGTTAAGACATCCACCGACAACGTTGTGTTGTCGGCTAACAACACGACTTCCCAAGACGAATGAAGCAAACACGACCTCACCAACGAATCGACAAACTGGAAGTAAGCAGAAAAATTCATTGCTTACCAGGCTTAGCCTCCACGTGACCTCAGTCGGGTGATGGTAGTGCCACCACGAGTGGCGACCCTTTGCGCGTCGAGGCCGCGACGACGTGCTTTAAACCACCGGAAAAACTAGAAAGGTGTTTCATGTTGGCATCGATGATCTGAGGCGGCAAAACTTCTTCCCAATGTCGCAAATTCTCCACGCCCGCCATGAACGATTTTATTCCGCTTTTCTCGGGACTAAAAGAGTCGAGGTCCACAATATTAACAAGTTTTGTTTTCTCCATAGCCCCAGTGTCGTGCTGTGTTGGGGTCAAGGTCCCATGGATGTCCGACAGGACATCTCCCTCCCTCAACTTCTTGTCCCCGTGTGCAGTGTCTTTGTCGTCCTCACTTCCATATAACAAACCATTTTTCACAGCCTTCGAGGGCTTCTTCAGAATATCATCTCCTATAGCGTCGTCATGAAAGCCGGCGTACAAGGGGTCCTTGGAACCTGGAACGACTCCCTCGTCCAGCCCGACGGCCTGCATATCATCTCCACAAGTATCGAGGAACATGCTCACGTCACTCGGATTCGGATTAATCTGAGTCCCGGCGGAGTGCAATGGCGAGGACATATCCAGTTTGTCCAACAGAGTGATATGTCCACTACCATCGACGTCGACGACTGCAAGCCTAGCGTCTATCAGCTTTGAATGCATCCGATTTCCGGTGGACTCCAAAGCACTAGTATCGATGCACATGCTCACGTCGCTCGGATTCTGATTCATCTGAGTCCTGACGGAGTTCAGTGGCACGAACATGTCCGCTTCGACCGCAGACTCGCTCATTACAGCCGCCGAAGTGCATATCGTGGCAGAACAGCCCGATGCTGGTGTGCGGGTTTCGACATTGGAACTGGGCGCTAACTCACTCTCACGGGAATCCTTGCCATCGTTTTGAACGCCAACTTAAAAAGACAGACGCTCTTTCAACAGTTCCCGTTCAACTTGAATGCAGATGATCTCGGTATGCTTACACCGTTCGGCATCCGTGGGTACACAGTCTGAGGTTCGGATGGATCCGAGATGTCCCTGTCCATGCACTTTGACATCAAGAGGACAACCGACATCTGCGACAACAACTATCCCGGCAACCAGGACGATAATATGTGTCGCACTGGTGGAGCTAATTATCGAATCCTGCTCGCCCTGCCGCGGAATCCGTCCAGGTGTGAAGTCTTTTTCCGTCTCTATTGAAGTTTTGCATGTTACAGCCAAAGCCGCACCGTCCTCATGGTGACCCCATGCCCCTCCAAGGGGCCTTTCTCTCCACAGGTCTTCGTCCCACTGTGATGCTTTCTTCCCTCTCCACTGCCCATCTTTTTCCTCTCCACCGTCTTGGGGCTCCGAAGATCATCGTTTCGACGAGCGATCTAGACTTCCTCCCCCGGATCCGGGGTGACCGCCGCCCCCAACATCCCCTTCGTTGTCCCCACCCCAAGACTTGTGCTTCACAGCTTCAGTCCTCGGCGTAATCGCTAGCAGCTCCCAACTTACTTCGTTCAATGAGGGGCTCGACAGAAGGCTGTAAAACGCTGAGGATACTTCCAACCATTTATTTGACTGTAAAAATTCAAACAACGTGTCCGCGTATGTCCGGAGAGTAGGGTTGTCCTTGTGTCGTCGATTAACCTCAACCAATTTCTCCAATACCGCCCGTAAGCTTGAGCATTGAAAGTATTAAGGTCCCAACGATCGTCGTATTCTCACCTGTCTTTAATGTCCCTAACAGCCACTGCCCAATCACCGTCAAGAAGGATTGGCAGGAAATGATCAGGGTGCCACACGATATCATGGCCCCAATCTTCGGTTGGGGAGAAGGTATGTTTGTCGCCCATGTGGTACGGCCTCGAAGGGTCCGATAGATGCGGATGGTCATGAGGAACTGCATGGCCGGGTTTTGGACGTTTGGGGTGTGGTGTGAGACGTAGCGACTCCCCTAGCGAACTCTTCAGACGAGACAACCCACCCCTCTTGACTGGCGCTGAGGACGATAAGGGTGTTGGACCACCTGAGGTGGGTGTAGCGACCGATGTCCCCGGTTTGCATACCGAGGGCGACTCTGAAAGGACTTGGGCGCCAAAGATGGCTAAATGGCCGTCGAAATCGGAGAGGTTGTCCTCGATGCTCTCCTCCTGTTCAGTGTTAACATTGAAGTCATCGTCCTTGCCAAATGCCAACCTGTACTTGTCTAAAGTGAAGTCGCCCGGATCGTGCAAATTTTCATTGAAGAAGACGTATTCCAACCTCTTCATGAAATCCATTGCGCTATCCCAACTCGCCCCGTGGTAGCCCTGGAGGACAGCAATGGTGACTTTCTTTCGCATCAAGTAATCCTCATCCACTCTCCACTTGGGTTGTTTGCCGAAAAGAAAGGAGTAGCCTTGGCGCCTTTTCTCCAGAGATAACTTGAAGAACATGTCCTTATTCGGGTCATATTCGGTATAGATCGTTAGATGGTGGAAGTTGCATTCCTAAGCTCCGGACTCGACTTCGTGGGCGACATACTTCACAATGTATTCAAGTTGCGCCGAGTCCCCCTTCACCGCCAAGACGTGCCTTCCGGTCTGAAGCAGATTCCACACCACCTGCGCGTGTGGCTTGCCCAGAAACAGCACGGCATCTGTGACACCATAGAAGAAATGCAGCTGGCTGCATAACTGATTAGCATTCCTCTCTCGTTCTTTATACACACTCCCCCTCTGGTTGAGAATGTCAACGTCTACGAAACTCAAAGACTTAAACCGCACCTCCACAACATCCGAAGGAGTCACTTTCTGTCTCCTTCGCAGAGCAGCGACATCGTCTTCGGCAACAGGTCCTTCATACACAGGGTGAGTTAGTTGCAGCGGATCCGCCTTTAAAAAGGATATGCATGACATCAGGCTCCTCCCACACGCTGTTACCAAACTAATGGGTTTTCTTCACTTGCGTTTTTTGCACCCACTTCCCCGTGTAGCATCGGGTGGCCCCGAGCGCAGACAAAGAAGTCATGAAGGAAAGGTTCACAGGCATGGGACGGACACCACCGATGTCTTGTAGTCCGGGCAAAGGAAGGTCAGAAACTCCCTCAGAGATGCAAATGCTGCCACATCCCATTGTGCCCGATCCAGAGGACCGCACAAGTCGAGGACGCAAGTGTGGGAGGGTAACTGATTCGCCAGTTTCCTTAGTTCATCCTTCTCGTCCAAGCCAGCTAACGGGTCGACGACAAACGGGGCTAGCGACGTCACGGCGTTTGTCCTCCTCCACAGAATGTTTATGCGGTCACCAATGGCTTGAGGACTTTGTTTGCTTTGTGCACGCTCTCCAATGATCACCGAAAGGACCACACGTTTCCACTCCACCGGTAAATGTTCGTCGTTCACGAGGGTCAGGGTCCTTTTCAAGTTGTTGTCATGGGAGCACCCGAGATATTCAGGGCACGTGTTGACATAGGAGTTGTTAGTGAAATACTTCCTGCTCTTGTTCCAAAACTTTTCGTCCAGACCTCTGTCCGCGTACTCTTCAAACACTTTCCGCTTCGACCTGAAGAATGAAGATCTGACATTTCACTGCCCTCATACTCGAACTCCACGTAGTGCGACAGCCTGAGCATAATCCAGTCGATCTTTATTATGTCAACCATCTCCTTGACACTGAATTTCCCCTGCTCGGCCAACTTTTTGTTACTCCCTTGAACCCACACGACGTCAAGGTTCAAGACACCTTTCAACAACCTTATCTTCTCGCTCTCCGTCAAGTCTGCCATTTCCTTCCAGCAGTGGACATTAGTCTCGGGAACATGGACGTAGAAAGTTTTATCCTCTACGCCTTTCTTGGGCTTGCCCTTGCCCCTTCTCAACGACGGGTCCTCCACCTTCATAAACCAGCAGTGTTTTTTCTGTCCTTGGTTATCCTCCACAACTGCCAACCCCTCCTTAGCCATGGCCTCATTGGTCGGTGGCTTTTCAGTCCAATGCTGGCCGTCGGAAACCAGAAGTTTCCTTTTCGACCATTCATCGTAAAACCTCTCCCCCAATTGGAAGACCGATTCGTCGGCCATGGCCAGCGGGAGGTAGTACGGAAGTTTCTCGGCCCACTCCTTTTTCTTCTTTTCTTCCGCTGACATCCCCATAAGTTGATGTACGGTGTCTTCTCTAACGCCAAGCCCATGAACTTAGTTCAACGACTCACTTCCTCCCCTTTCTTCGCCACATTACCGAGGACGACACGCGGTCTCCCCCGATTTTTCCAGATACTGCGAATGTCCCTCATGGCCAAAATCTGCAACCTAGGTGGGTTCTTCTTGCCTTTCAAGTTGTCTTCGACGCTGACCTGGGCATAATCGTCGAACTCGTCGTCAGGGAAGTATATTGGTCTGAAAGGCCAACTCCAGAAGGTGTAGTAAATTGAACACCGGATGGTCCTTCACTTGCATCGCTGCCCTCGCTTTATGCTGCCCACTCACAGGATAATACCAGTACTTCTCGGGCGTTGTGGCATTAAAGTCTTCAGGCAGCACGCGCACAACGGGTTTGCTCTTCTTTGGAGGTGAGACGAGCGGAGCTAGAACGAAAGTCGGCTTTGTATATTTTCTATCACGACGGTTGAAACAGTCGATCATTGCCTCCGCGATGCTATCCACGAGGAAATCATCCAAGGATCGGTGGTTGTACGCGCCTTCCCAGTCTGGAATAGGCAAGATTCTCTTGAGATGGATATACAAAACGACGTCCTTCTGCACCCCCGTTTTCATCTCCAGGAAGAACGCTTTGTCGAGGTCAAAAGTATTTATGTTCAATTCCACATCGGAGTCCCTACCCCCACTCTGACCCTCGTCTGTTTTCTTTCCCTTGGAGGACTTCGACCTCTTCCCAGAAGAATCACCAGTATTTCGCCGTCTGGTCGACTCCTTCGACGTTTCCCCCCCCACTCCCCTTTTCCTCTTGTCAACCGAACCCCGCTCTTGTGTCTTTGACGCTCGACTCCCTCCCCCTTCCGTTCTTTGTTTTTTCTGCATTATGACACCCTCCCCCTCCTTGGCGAGCGGTAAGTTGTGCTTACCTCCCGGCAGAGACTTTCCAGGCGTACTCTGATGCCCCCCCAACTCGACAGGCTCCTCATCATCAGTGACGTTCCCACCTGCGTCCCATTGAGGGTTCGCCTCCTTCTTCAGCAGGAGTGGAGTAGGGCGGGCCGATCGATTCGTCTCCTCCGTCCCACGCACCTCTCGGACTGCGTAGCTACCGGGTTGTTCGCCCGACGACGACGCAACCATTTGTCTCTCTTTCACGGCACAGATCAATTCACCGATTTTTTCAGCGAGGAGACGGGGAGACGTCTTTCCCGAGGCCTTTTCCAACCGTTTGCGGACGCGTCCTCCAAGTGACGTCGCAATCGGCGACTCTCCAAGCAAACCTTGGTGGCGTGGTTCCTGCACGCCGACTTTTAGAGGCGCTCGGGTACGCTCGTCCTCCGAGTCGTCCGACATTCGCATTTCTGGGTCAGGAGGCGTACTAGGTTGTCCCCTCTCGCCTCCCGCACGTTGTTGAGGAAGGTCTCCTCCCGCGAACGTAACAGGACCACTTAGTGATGTCCCCGGGGCCAGGTCTATGCCATGGCTAGGATGGACTGTAGCCGACCAGACCTCGAGGAAGTCTCTCAAGTGGACGACGACGTCTTGAACAGGCGTCATCGGGACGAAGAATGGTAACGCCGACGCTCTCTCGCCGTACCCTCCGAACCTCTTCCCAGAAACCTTGCAACCTTTGGCATTTTTGTCGACCGTTCCATCACTGCGGTACAACTTACGCAAGTAAAACTTGATAATATCATCGTTATCGTCAACCCAGCCGGCGATGGATCCTGCGAGATGCAACATGTTATTCGTTAAAATAGGACATTATATTGTGTCCTCTTTTTAACGAATTCACTTTTGGTTGCGGCATAAGCAACATAGGCTTGCCCATCCTTTCCCTCGAGATAATTTTTTGGACGTTTGATGAGATTCAGACTTATTTAGAAGTGTAATTGTAACACGCCCATCTACTCGCCTGAGATGTGGAAGTGTGTTGAGATCCATACTTGTTTATAATAGTGATAAGTCAGGTGTCATGATTCTATCATGAGGCTTGTTGGATATATTTTTTCCTACGTAGCACAAACATGTTCATCCTGTCATCCGAGACATTTGTTTGGATGTTTGATGAGATCCGGAGTTGTTTAGAAGTGTAATCATAGGCACGCGCATCCCCTCGCCCGAGATGCGGAAGTGTGTTGAGATCCATACTTGTGTATAATTGTGATGAAAATGTGTCATCATTGTGAACTTGTTCGATATTTCATTTCTTTAGGTTAATATTCCTAAGTTGGATAGGCATACCCATCCTCTTGGCGGAGACGGTTGTTTGAATGTTTGATGAGATCCGGACTTCTTTAAAAGTTTAATGATAGTAACGCCCATTCTCTCGCCCGAGATGCGGAAGTGTGCCGAGATCCATACTTGCGCACAATTGTGATTAACCAGGTGTCATAATTGTATCCTTGTTGGATATGTTTATTTAGGTTATTCCTAAGTAGCACAGACATGCTCATCCTCTCGGTTGATATGGTTATGTGGATGTTTGATGAGATTCAGACTTGTTTAGAGTTGTAATGACAGACAAGTTCATCCTCTCGCCCGTGACAATTGTTTGGATGTGTGCTGAGATCTAGACTGGTTGATAATTGTGATGAGCAATGTGTCATTGTATCCTTGTTCGATATATAAAGTTTTATTTTTTGTGCCATCATCTTTAAGTACTATAACAGTTAGAATACTAGTCAAAGTAAAATTGAAATATGTTTATCGACAATATGGATAGTTAGACATGTGTTGGGTGTGGATGACTATTATTTAGACAAGAAACGTTTTCATTTACACTTAATTTTGACATACATCCTTTTCCGCAACAATACCCGTCATATTACACAAAAACTTCGAATGTTGCATATTTTCAGTGGAACCCGCACTTCAACTTGCGAGGACCCCCTTTTGATGGAGTTCGGGTCCCGACAGACTTCGGCGTTCTCAGGCCAGTGCGCGGTCCACTTGCACACTCTTCCGTTTACGTTGTAGACCGCCCCTCCCCCTAAGTCGACGCAGTTCGGTCCCGCGCATCACCACCGCTAGACGGAAGACCGTCCCCAAGTGAAGTGCGGATTTCGGCACAATTCGGAGCGGCATCCTGGCTGGGGACTCCCACCCTCGACCCGCTCTGCACGACAGATTTCCGCCCTAGCACCTCAACCGGTGTAGTTCGGATCTCAGCGAACTTGGATTTTCCATCGGTGATTGAAATCCCTACTTGTGAGTCGATGCCAACACCAATTAAGGCGGCCAGCCTCTCTGCTGCTGAGCGGGGGGCCGATGGCTCTCACGACAAAGTCGGGATGTCGGCGGGCTTCACCGTATGTTCTGGACCGGAGCTTGCAGCTGCATGTCGAGCGAGGGAGCCCTCCCCACCCCACCACCGCCTTCCGTTGTCATCACTTCGTCGTGAGGCCCATTCTGTCCACTAGGGGGGACGCCTTTGCCAGTCCCCTCATCACCTCCCCTGTCCCCTCCACCCCCCGAAGGGCCCCCTGCCGAACACCCCAGTGGCCCAGTCGAAGGGGGTATCTTCCAGTTTACCCTTCCCTTCGAAGGGCTCGTGTCGAGGTCGTAAAATTCGTCTAACCACTGACTGTTGTGAAAAAGACGATCAACAGTGGAACCGATGGACTGGTCGGTGTGTGGAAGCTCTGGATTCTCAGCCCTCACTTTGTCGACCACCGAAATCCTCGCGAGTTCAAGGTACCTGGACTTGGACTGGCGTGCGTATGACGACCATCCCCCTTCACCGTCAATGAGGGTCATGATCGACTTGCCCTTTAGGGTTCCAAATCATGTCATGGCCCCATTCCCTTTCGAATTAGCAATGACGTTGCCCTTTGAACCGTAAACGGTGTTCATCTTGAAATGGCGATAACCCTCCTTCACATCCTCCCACTCGACAACGGCCCCAAGCACTCTACGCTGGTGGTGGTCTTCGATGAAAATGATAGGACCAGACGGCTGCTTAGCGGGGTCTGAAACATCCCCACAGCACCAATCGACGGATGTTTCAGACCCCGCTAAGCAGCCGTCTGGTCCTATCATTTTCATCGAAGACCGTCTTGCTGAGTGAAGGGTTGTAATGGTAGGACCAGACGGCTGCTTAGCGGGGTCTGAAACATCCCCACAGCGGGGTCTGAAACATCCCCAAAGTGGTCGAAGGGTGGATCCCTGTGAAGTACAAGTGATGATGGAAGGGTTGTAATGGTGGGCTTCGCTAACATGCGGACATCAATACTCCTGCGGAAGGAGCGAATCGCTCAAGTTCGCTGGTATGTGGACTTTGGGATTTGATATTTCTGGGCAATCTGTGAAGTTTGGATGTCGGCGAACTTCAAGGGTTCACATGTCATCTTCAAACTGCTTTACGCGACCCATTTGGACAACATGTGAAGTTCGGATGCCGGCGGACTTAACGTTTTACCCCATGTTCTGCAATACTTGGAATCGATGTGTTATCAAGGTTAAGCCCAAGTACCCTACCCACAGTGTTCGAAGGATCCCACCGAACTCGGAGTGTTGTGGGTGGGGGGTGTTCTCACGGGCTCCGTTAACAAGCGGAATCCAACACTCGTCTGAGAGGAGAGAATCACTCAAGTCCGCCGGCATCCGGACTTCAGGATTTGCTGTTTTTGGCTAGGCTACCAAGCGGGCCGCCCGGGCCCCGGGTGACCAGCCCATGCAAGGACTAGGGAGAGTCCCAGCAAAAAAAAAAAAAAAAAAAAAAAAAAAAAAAAAAAAAAAATTTTTAAAAAAAAAAAAAAAAAAAAAAAAAAAACCAAAAAAAAAACTATGTTATGCAGAAAAATAAACAGAACAACTTTTGCCTCAGGGTCACATCAAAATTCTTTACCAATTTTAAAATAAAATTAAAAATGTTTTTTTTTTTTTTTTTTTTTTTTTTTTTTGTCTGCTCGGGTAAGTGACCTCGGGCCACTCGGCTAGCCCAGGTTTTTGGCCAATCTGTGAAGTTCGGATCCCGACGAACTTGAATATTTATACGTCTAGCTGCGATCACAAAAGCGGCGTTGTTAACTAAATTGGACCAATTTCGCCTTTGCACAACATGTGAAGTTCGGATACCGGCGGACTTCAATTATTGTCGGGGCATTTGGGCATTGTGTGAAGTACGGATACCGGCGGACTTCAAGTTTTGGCCCACGTTCTGCGTTGCGTGAGGCCTGTGTTCTGCGTTCCGTGGTCTGCTTTTTGAACTTTGTCTTGTGCGATGATTAGCGAAGTCTGGATGCAGGCGAACTTTGTCATTCAGTCGGGCGAACTTCCATGCGGTTCGTTGATGAACAATGGAGTTCATCGATGATCGAGGTTTGCCTACATGTAGTGGCGGCTTAGGCGGGGGACCTCCCTGTCTGTGGCCGTTCTGGATTTGTGATATCAGGTGTGTGATCTCGTACTTCGCACCCGACCAATCGATTATCTAAGCAACCGACCGAGCAATCGACTAATCAGGCAAGCATGCGATCAATCAAACATCCAATCATATCACTATTCGCTGACTGGCAGATGTGATGTTTCATTGATTGCATGCTTGGCTGGTTGGTTAAGTGGTGGATCGACCGCTTAGTTTATTGATCAACCGCTTGCTTTGTTGACTGACAGATGAGATGTTTGATTGGTTGCATGCTTGGACGGTTGGTTGAGTGATCGATTGGCTGCTTAGTTGATTGCTTGCTTGCTTGCTTGCTTGCTTGCTTGCTTGCTTGGTTGGTCGTAAGCTATGTTACCTATGTACACTAATCAGTCAATCGTTCAATCAATCGCAGGAGTCCGACCGACAGTATTAGGTTCACATGCATTCATAGATCCACAAACAAAAGATCTTGGATCCACATGCACGACAGATAGATCCACTCGCATTTCCAGATCCAAATTCAAACGTCCAGACACATTCATGGATTCACTGTGACATGCATGAGAGGTAGATCCACGCGCATTCCTAGATCCACATTACAAAGGTCCACACGTATTCATAGATCCACGTGCATGAGAGATGAATGCACTCACATTCATAGATCCACATGCACACATCCGCATGCATGAGAGCTAGATCCACGCACATTCCTAGATCCATTTCCATAGGTCCACACACATTGATAGATCCACACGCATGAGAGATGGGTGCACACGAGTTCGCAGATCCGTACGCACGGATCCGCATGCGTGAGATAAAGATCCACATGCATTCATAGATCCACAACACAAACCACCGAATGCATGCAGATCTTTGAATCAGTGTGCCGCATGAGCCGACACGACCGATAAATGGAATCCGCCCCTGTCCATGACTTACTGGCGATTAGGTTTTCTTCCCCGTGAGAAACTTACCGAAAAACTGCGAGAACAATGCACATGGTAAACCTCAAGATCCTTCAGGTCCGTCACATCGCGAGAGCTCGAAGGAAGTGGTGTGACGATAGGAAAGGAGACGCGCGAAGATGTTATAGGAGAGGCGTGAAGATCGCGCAGGAACCGAGCGAGATGCCTGTGCATGAACGGACGACATCGACGGATGGTTGGGAGCGAGGGCACTAAACCGATGACGTGGATGGATTACGAGATAGACAAAGTGAAAGAGGGCTGGATAACTACGGGGAGAGGGACGAGATACACACCTTAAGATGACGAGATAAAGAAAAGCGGTGAGGGAGCGAGGGAGCGAATACTGCGCAGGGTGCATGAGCGAGGACTCCAGGCGAGTCCATACCGTTCGCGCCCTGCCTCCGTAGTGAGCGTCGACCGTGGTTGATGGACGCTCGTCGTCGTCGCCGTGGATAACTGCTGTGGCAACGTGAAATGCGATGGTGCTAGGGATAGCGATGGCGCTTTGGATGGCGATGACGCTAGTCACCTCGATCTG